TTAATTTTGTGCAGCCCCTCCTGTTGACAAATGTTTCATCCTGTGCTCTTTCAAAAGCAGTGAGAGAATAATGTGAGGAGGGTCTGTTTGTCTTCCCTGAAAGATGTAGATAGATTTGAGGATGTTTGTACACTTGCTAACAGCCAAGCAGGGAGGGAAATTAAAAATCCCTACTCTTCCAGTAATGACTATTTCCTGTGAAGGGAAGCAAGCCATTTTGGAGGTAGTGTGAGGACACAGAGGTGTACCCGGAATTGCAGGCAGCTGCAGCCTGACATAGTACAACACAGTGTGCTCTTGTCCCCGAGCTCTGGGAGATGTTCATTAACGCAGTCTGTGATATTATGGCTAAGAGAACTGTTCAGGCTCATCAGGAAGAAATTTGATCATTAGCAAAGTTTGCACTGGGACTTGCTCAGTATCTTTTTATGTTAAAGCAGTTACCCAAGCTGTAGTTTAAGAAAGTAGAGGGACAAAGTCTGCATTTAAATAATCGCTCTTGGTAGCTCTGATGGAGGCACTACTGGCATAATCTGAATAAACAGCATTTTTAAGAATCAGTTTAATAATTACAAAAACCGTTTTGATGTTACTCTGCTCTAGCTGATGGTGGCTGCGGGCTGGGTTCCCTGCAAAGATTTCCAGATTCTTCCTTTTCTTTTGGTTAGCACCATGCTGAAAGATACGGCCTCCTGGCATGAACACAGCCAAGGACTTGCACAATGGCAGCTAAGTGCGTGCTGCAGAGCCCAAGCTTGCCTGGCAAGGTGTATACATGGGATCAGACTCCTCTCCCAGCTTCCCGGTCCGTGGGAGGCCATGCGTACAATGGCTCTGGCTCCCCAGCGTATGTTCGACTGCATCTGCACCATCGAGGACCAGTCTCCATGCAACAGCAGAGAGATAGAGATGATGGGTAGAGCTGATGGTCTTCCAGGTCACACTTTGGGCAAGTTAGGCTGCTGAAAGCCTGACTTCAGCATCCCTCATGTGGGGGAAGGGGAGCCCCTCTGTGGGGGAGACAGTGCCTACCAGAAGAGCAGCCACCTGTCTTGATGCAGATGAATGACATATTTTGAGGGGAAAAGAGAAGCAAAAAAGGGGCAGAGCATGCTGGAGGCAGGCTGTGATACCAAACTGCCTGTAGCACCTCCCCAGTGGGGACAATAGCTAGCACTACCCAGGGTTTACTCACTGTGCTGATTTCCTAGAAAGATTTTTATTGCTTCATTTAAAGCTCACTTGCATTGTGCTGACAGATGCCCTTGCTGCAGCATTATTGATTTGCTTATGCAGCTTGAGGGATGTCAGACTGTTGCCATCAAAAGAGAGCTAAGGCTGTGTCATGGTCAAGGCTGGCTGTTGCGGAGATGGTAGGGGATTTGGTGGGAGCCTGCCCGAAGCCTGCAGTGGAGCTCGAGAGCTGGCATTGCCCAGCCATCCAAGGCACAAGAGGCTTGAGGCTGTAAGCAATGCAACACAAAAGTATTTAAAAGCTGAAGGAGCCTCAGGAGGGAGATTGAAACCCACAGAAATTATTAAAAAGTCTCTTTGAAGTACTCAATAATGTATAGACTATATCATTTACTACTACAGGATGAAAACAGAAATAAGAAGAATAATCCCTTTTTGAGGCTCCAGGATGGCTGTGAGGGGAAGTGTTTGAGCCAGGAGGGTAATGGGAGCATGCCAACATTGGGGAGGGACAGCTGCTGGGCTGGATGCCTGCAGATGTGTGCAATTCACACACTTCCACATCTGCCCAGACCCGCTGGGCAGGCACGGCCCCGCAGCCCTGGTGCAGCATGGCTTGGATGAAAAGTCCCTGACAGTGGTGAAATACAATGAGGGGTTTTGGTATTGTTGGTAGAGTCACTTGGAACATTTCAGGCTGTGTCTTTTGGTGTGTGTGTTTGATTTATTTCTAGCATAGAAATAGATGTCTATACAAGCATATAAAGTAATGCCAATTATAATCTTATTGTTTAAAAGCTAAATCAGTACAAATCTGTCATTATTTTGCCACCAGAAAATAAAATGAGTTGTTTCAAATGCCAAATCAAAACCACTCATCAGACACCCATGTAACAGGAGAATATTTTGATGCTGGAGGGTCAGTCTTGTCTTCTAGGAAAAATGGTAGTGGTACAGTTGACATGCTGGAGGGAAGCGATGCCATCCAGAGGGACCTTGACATGCTTGAGAAGTGGGCCAGCACAAACTCATGAAGTTCAACAAGGCCAAGTGCAAGGTCCTGCATGTGGGTCAGGGCAATCCCAAGCACAGCTACAGGCTGGGCAGAGACTGGATTCAGAGTAGCCCTGCGGAGAAGGACTTGGGGTGTTGGTTGATGAGAAACTGAACATGAGCCGGCTTCAGTGTGCACTTGCAGCCCAGAAATCAACCGTATCCTGGGCTGCATCAAAAGAAGCATGAGCAGCAGGTCGAAGGAGGTGATCCTGCCCCTCTCCTCCACTCTTGTGAGACCTCACTTGGAGTATTGTGTACAGTTCTGGTGTCCTCAACATAAAAAGGACATGGACCTGCTGGAGTGAGTTCAGAGGAGGGCCATGCAGGTGATCAGAGGGCTGGAGCAGCTCTCTGATGGAGACAAGCTGAAAGAGCTGGACTTGTTCAGCCTGGAGAAGAGAAGGCTTTGGGGAGACCTTATTATGGCCTTTTAATATATAAAAGAGGCTTATAAAACAGACTGAGAGACTTTTTACCAGGGCCTGTAGAAACAGGAAAGAGGGTAGATTTAAACTGGATATAAGGAAGGAATTCTTTATGATGAGGGTAGTGAGGCACTGGCACAGGTTGCCCAGGGATGTTGTGGCTCCTTGATCCCTGGAAGTGTTCAAGAACAGGTTGGACAGTGCTTAGAGCAACCCGGTCTAGTGGAAGACGTCCCTGCCCATGGCAGAGGGTTGGACTGGATGATCTTTAAAGGTGCCTTCCAACCCAAACCATTCTGTGATTCCCTGGTTTTGCCAGCAAGTTCAGTCCCAGCTTTTTGCTGGGTACTGCTAAGTAGTATCTATACTGCCCTCCAAACATTTAAAGTCCACTCTGTCTTGTGTGACTCCTTTGGATGCAAACATACGCAGTGGTTGCTTCTGCAGGGAGGTTTGTGAGGGTTGCAGGCTGCAGGGAGCGAGCAGCAGGCTTTTTCTTTCTTCTCTGTGTCTAGATTCAGCACTCACAGACTGTGAGCTCTGGGAGTACCATGGGCTTCTGGGCTTGAAAAACAACGTTTTAAAGCTTTTCCTTTCTCTCCACCCTCCACTGAGTGTTATTCAACGCGTGTTTCCACAGTCCTTTTGCCATGCTGTTAGCCCAGCAATGTTCCCCCCTCATTGAGATCAGTGGGAGCTCACACAGAAGTTAATTAGTTTGAAAATTAGCCCTGGCACGACGTAGAGCTGACAGAGCTCCTGTACAACCATGTGTCTCAGACGAGCATGATCCCTGTCGCTAGGCTGCTTCAGTTTTCCCACCTCCCAGCCCCTCACCCTACTAAAGCCAGTCCTATTGAGGTGGAAGTGGGGTCTGTTTTAACCATGGACAGGCTTAGGTGCTGCTCCTAACCTGTCAGGAAGGAGGGCCAATGCCCACCCACTCTTAACGGGTGAATTGTGGAGAAGCCCCAGGTAAACTTGAAAACAGGTTGCTGAGCTCACTTCCAAAACGGAAAACAAGTTAAGCACTTTGTATTACTTAGTTTGAAAGTCGGCTTGTACACACTGACTGTTTTCACTGCTGATTCATCTGTGATGAAAGCTTATATGATAGCATAGTATAGCTTTTAGCAGGTGGAAAGAATAAAGATCTCCAGATGCCTTGACATCTGGTGACATGTATATAGCATTTTGAGATGGTCCTGGATATATAGTAACTTGACTTTTTAATTAAAAAGATGATTGCACTCACTTTTTTTTCTCTTATATTGTATGGACTCAAGCCAATAGGTGCTTTTATTGCAAATTTGAGGTCTAGAATTTATTGGAAGGTTAACTTTCAAATAATGAACCTGAAATAGCAGGTGCATTCCACAGTAAATTATTGCAGGTGGAGCTGGAGGATACATTGTGCCCTTTTCATTCAGACAACACGCTTCTTGATTTCCACCACATTTAGGATGGATGGCACCTTGTGTGACCTGGAGCAGTTCCAAGAATGCTTGTCTCCAGTAGCAAATACCCCAGACATTGCCAAACCCACACTAGGATGCTCACAGCCTCCCTGCAAAAGGAAGTCAGTAATTTGTTATTTCTTTCCAGCCTCAGACCACTATCACTTGGACCCAAGTCTCATTTCAGACCAACATGGGAAATAACTCCATCACTGTCACCAGAGAAAGCATGTTGCAAAACCCCCAGAGTAGTTTTTATTTAAAATGTTACTATCATAAAATTCCAGACTAGGAAATAAAGACCTTGGATTCCCGTTGGACCTTACCCACCCCCTTTTTAAAATATATAGATACATAGTCACAAACATAAAACATGCTGCAATGATACAAATATATTTTTCAATACGGAAATTACAGTACATTATAAACCATGAAAACAAATCGAGGCACTAGACTGTACATCAGTTCTGTTCTGTACTGGCTGTGAAGCTGATAGACTCACTTTCAATGAATAAAAGAATATTTTCTTCATTTAGTGAACATAACTTTATGGGTCATATCAAATGATGTGCTTCTTTGTGAGACATCACCAGGGTTGCCAGTCCTTTTGGAACCACAACTCACCTACACAACATGTATCACTGCCACAATATGAAAAATAATCATTTTATTGAATGTACAACTAAAAAAAAAAAAAAAAAAAAAAAAAAAAAAAAAAAACACCCACAAAAAAAAACCAACACCAGAACAAAACCCAACCCATCAGTTATTATTAAATAAATAATTATTCCGTACAGTGGTTAGTTTAAATTACACTGCATTGGTGATTAGAACAAATGATGTTTAATAAATAATGCACAGGGATGTCTCATTTACGCCTCCGTTCGTAATTCTGTGCTATGCTCCTTTCAGAGGATCCTGCAAAAAAACGAAGCAGAATGAAGTACATGGTACAGCCTTGTGAAAACCCCAGCAAGCACAAGGAGACATCAGAGCCCTTCAACCTGCTGGGTCACCACTGAACCCCATCAGCCTGTTTGGAACCAAGTTGAGGGCTCCCTGCCCAACTCTGAGCTGCTTTGATTTAGGTTTACCCCCCAGACTACACTATTCTCCAGGAGGCTGAAGGTCTGAGCAGTGCTTTCTGCCTCTCGTCTATTGAGTTGCTTGAACCACCATTAGCTCCGAG